CTCCCACCAAAGGAGGGATCGGCACTGACTCTTGGCCCACATGAAGTTCAAAGTTCCCTCAATAAACCTTTGGGCTATAATTATGGCTATCCTCTGCACTCCTCATTCCCTCTTTTAGGACTGAAGGATGCATCTTCCTGGGCCTAGGAGGGATGTTAGGCAACAGCTCTCAGCTACCTATCCCCAGCTGACACTGTCTTTGGCAGAGGGGAGTCATCTTGCCCAAGGTCACACCCTTTCCTAGAATAGCTGATACTGATGACTGATTGGTAAGTCAGGAGCAAGATGGTCAGACCCTCTAGCCCCAACACAGCATGACTGTGAAGACCACAGTAGCTTCCAACAAGATGACAGTAGCACTGTCTAATACCTCCTCTGCCACTCCTGCTTCCTTCTTTCCTGATTACTGAGATGCCCCCTAGCAAGCATCCTGCAGGCCAATCCCCCACTCAGTCTGCCTCCTGGAAATGAGGATAGGATTTTGGAGCTGTGTCACTCATTGCCCAACCAGCAATGAAGACAGCATCACAGAGCCCTCAGCCCATCGTAGCAGTCAAATTAATGCTTTGACAGAATGAACTGTGGTGGTCTATCAGGGGCAGGAAGTACACAAGCCCCGGGCTAAGCATCAACTGAGAAATACATATAGGAAAGACTAATGATAAAGTTGGTGAAATTACAGGGCTATTGCTGAGGGCAACTGATGTCTGGGAGAGTAACAAGAAGAGCTGAGGACATTAACCATGCATTAAATGCAGTATGTAAAAATCCAGAGGCCTGGTTTCTACAAGAACCCAATTGACACACCCAGAAATAATATTTTGCCAGATTTCTGGGCGTCCCTTAATCCAGGCAAGTGGACACAGAACTAGTTATTAAACAGATGTTGGCAGAGATGGTTTCGACCTCTCTCCTTGATTTGTAGATGACCATCTTCTCCATTCTTCTTCACATGATCTTCACTGTGTCTGGATCTCCTCTTCTTCTATGGGCCCATCCTAATGACCTCACTTTAACTTAGTTACCTCTTTAGCAACCCTACTTCTCAATTCAGTCACATTCTAAGGTATAGAGCTTCAACATAGAAATTTGAAGTGGGGAGCAACACATCCCAATAAGAATCCAAAGGGGTGGTATTAATGTGCTGCTAAGATGGCTCTTAAAAGCTTGGAGCAGTGATGGTCACATTAAGTTAAGTAGACATGCCAGAACTACAATGGCAGATGGTAGAGCAAGAATCAAAAGACTCAGAGAAGGTACAGCGACAGTGGACATACCAACTAAAGCCAAAATATCCACTAGAGTCTGTTCCATGAGAACGTCAGTGGGTATTTTACTTACTAAAGTAATAATCAATAGGCTGGTAAGAGATACAAGGATGAAAATCTCAATTGTTGCCATCCTCTATAAGGCAGGGCTGATGGTGGGACATGCCCGACAGTGGGGATGATAAATCCCAAAATATTAAGAGACCAATTGGCTATGCTCAGCTACAGAAGCCATATAGACAATAATCCTCAGTATATATTGTGGGGAGCATGCAAGCAAAAATAAAAGATGGTTGTTAGGGAAAAGCATCCCTGAGGGGCCAGAAGAGCAGCATCCAAGGTATCACTCATTCTATGCCATCAGAAGAATTAATGTTGGTGTGATCAGGAGTCTGAAAACCACTGCCCTAATAATTATCCAGGTCTCAACCCAGTTTACAGACTTCTGTCACTTTTCAGACCCCAAAGACCTGAAGTATTCTCATGGCTCACTGTTACATGCCATTACCTCCCAGGTAATGAGCAGCATTCAAGCCCAGGTCTGGTTTGCAGTAGGTCTGCTGGGTGAATGGACCCATTCCACAGTCATTTCCCCAGTACCTAAATGTGCAGTAGGAATGAACATACTTGGTAGTTACAAATATTCACATAGATAGTTTGGTATGTGGGATATCAGTGAGGAAGGCCAAGGATAAGTTTCTAGAAGTGCCCCCACCCCAGTCAAGATAATAAATCATAAACAATATCACATCCTAGAGTGGGGGCACAGAAGGTCATGATTTTAAAACTTAGAACCATCTTTAAATACCTAAATGATGCAGAGGTATGTCCCCTATCAGGTCAGTATTTAATCAAGTGGGTCCCTGCAGAACCAAATGGGTCCTGGAAGATGATAAACAAGTAGCAGCCATAGCTGGCACTGAAACTTTCCTGCCAGATGTTGTGTCTTCACTGAAGCATGGGCTCAGGTACACGGTATGCATGCAGTCTTTGATCTGGGAATAGTGTTCTTTTCATCTCTATCAAAAAGGACGATCAGAAGCCATTCGTGTTTGCTCAGGACAATGGTATTCACTTACAATGTTGACCCAGGCCTATGTTAATGCTCTCTCTGTCATAATGTAGTCTGAGGAGACCAGGACCAGCTGGGCCTCTGCAAAACATCACCCTGGCGATGACATCATGTAAACCAGACCTAAGTGGCAAGTATGCTGGGGGCCTTTGTAAGTCAGACTCTCACAATAAAGAAAATGATGAGCAACCTCTATGAGGATTCAAGAGTCTGCCACATCAGTACTTTTAAAGATCCAGGATCTGTAACATGTCAGAACATCTAAGGCAAAGAAAAGAACAAATTTTTGTATGTTGCTCCTCCTAAATGAACAATGTCGCATACCTGGTAAGTTCCCTTAGTTCAGGAGACATTAATTCCACAGTTGGAAAATACTGCTTATACTCATATAACAAGTGATACAAAGGCTTCCAGTTTTAAATGGTAGCCAAAATAGGAAAAGGCTCTGCAAAAGGTCCAGGATGCAGTCAAGTAGCCCAATAACCTGACCATATGACCCACCGTCCTTATGATATTGGAGGTTTGGGCAATGGAAAAGACACTGTGGAGTTTCTGGAAATCCACATTTGGAAAGTCACAACTCAGATGACACCATGTCAACAACAGCAAAGAAAAATAGACCTTTAGAAAGAATGCTCATAGCATGCTACTGGACCCTGGAAGGTGAACCACCTGACCACAAGACACCAAGTAACCAGTCATTCATGATGAGCAGGGTTCCATCACACCCACAAAGCCCCACAGTCAGGCAGACCCAACAGCAGCCATTGTAGGATGGAGGTGGTAAGCTTAGTTTGCTTTATGGATAACAAAATACCTGAGACTGATTGACTTATAAAGAACAGAAGCTTATTTCTCTCAGTTCTGAAGACTAGCAAGTCCCAAGGTAAATACATCAACAGGTTTTTATCTGGTGAGTGTCCATCTCTGCTTGACCAGATGGCACTTGGAATGCTGTGTCCTCTAGAGCAGAGAAGTGCTGCAGTCTCACATGGCAGAAAGCAGAAGGGCAAAAGAGCAAGCAACCAAATGCTGCCTGAGCCTCTTTTATATAAGGTCCTTAATCCCATGCTCAATGGGAGGAGCCCTCTGGGGACATCACTCTTGATGGCTCTACCTCTTAAAACTATCACTTGTCCATCAAGTTTCAATGCCTGAATTTTGGAGGGAATACACTGAACAACAGCATGGTACATCTGGGTCAAGGGTATGAGTAAGCTACACAAGCAGCATCCCAGACTCTCCCATTAGTCACCACTGTTGCCTAGTGGCTCTCCTTAGCTCAGGTCTGTGTTCACATGGGAGGTCCCTTATGAACATCCACTGGAGGAGAAGAGAAAAGCCCAAGTTTGCTTTATCATGAGTCATCTGAGTTTAAGGATAAAGCCAAAACTATCCAGTGACTGCACTATAGCCTCACTTACTCAGGGGGTAACTTGAAAGACAAAAAAAAAAAATCCTTCCTGTGGACAGAGCTTTAGACAGAACACACTTTATGCTAAAGGGGAACTGAAGTTGCTGGTGTGCAAATATTGTTAACTTCTCACACTTTTACTAGTCTTGGATAGACAACAACATCCATGGGGAGTCTATGTCCTCAAATCTAACTCAGCACTAAAATCACCTGAGAAGCTTTTAAAGAACTCAGACTCCCTAAGTCCAACACCAAAATTAGTGAAATAAATGCCCCAGATATGGACCTCAGAAATCTACGTCTCAAATGAGATTCTTAAGTGATCTTGATATTGAACTGATATTTAGTCTAATGATTAGCAATGCCATAATGAAGGGAAAAAACATTAATGATAAATGCAAACACATATAACACTACATGCTGTAATAAAGCTTTACTTTCTAAATCTCATAACCACCCTATGATATGTATTACTATTAATCTCAGTGTGTGGATGAGAAAACTGAAGTTTAGTGACTTACCCAAGGTCATACTACAAGTGAATGATGTGCTCTAGAGACATTCTGTAATAACCATGACACCACAGTGGACAAGGAAGTGAAGGAAAGAGAAGGGAGATGACCAATCAGCTAAACAAGAAACATACACTTTGTAGGGCCTGTCTCTATATTTACCTAAAATGAAGACAAAGTGTTTTTCCAAATAGTTTGACTTCAATACCAGATTCCACTGACAGTAGCATATGAGCACCACCTAGTGGCTACACGGGACTGCCTTTGTATTAACTTCTCTCTCAGATAAGCAGAATCAACTCACAAGAAAGGAAAAGTGGTTATGAAAATTTAACAGATCCAAGTTCCAATTCTAGGAGGTTGTATTCTTTGATTTCTGGGGTAAGTTTTAAAAATATAATGATCTAAAAATGAAAAATATCAGGGCTGGGGTTGTGGCTCAGTGGTAGAGCATGCCTTGCATGTGTGAGGCCCTGGGTTCGAGCCTTAGCACCACATAAAAATATATAAAGGTATTGTGTCCATCTACAACTAAAAAATATTTTTTAAAAAATGAAAATATCAAAACAAGTGAATGCAATAATAGAAGTAAGAATGATAACAGGTTTTTGAAATGAAGAAAACAGTAATAAAACATGAAAAAGAAAAAGCCATATGCAAGCCATTTTTAAATTTATATTCTTATGATGAATTTATTACAGTCATACATTAGAAATATTTTCATGGCTAAATACCTTTTCCAGGAATTATCCAAATTCAGCATCCTCTTCCTTCCAGGTGTTAAGACACCCTCTGCTCCGACCACTATCCATGAGAACTCATGGCCACTCAACAAGACGAAAAGTGCTGGAAGTTTAGAAGGTCCTTCTTCCTTATTTCAGTGAGAGCTGTTTTCTTTCAAGATCTACTGAACCCAAGTGTGCAAAGGCAAAGGGTGGCAGCCCAGGGAGGCGGAGAGTCAGTCCTGAGAGCACAGTGGGAGCCAGGCAGGGTGCAGAACAGGGGTGGAAGGAAGGAGCTGGAGCGGCTAGCAGAAGGCATGCAAACACCCAGGAATCCTAATTCAGGGCAGGAGCCTGAAGAGGCCTCAGAGTGGAAGACAAAAGGGTGGTTCCAGGAACAGAGGTTGGCCCAGCTGCCCAGGGTCTGCCCAGGCCTCACAGGTATTAGAATTCATCCCATGGTTTCTAAAAGCTCTTACTCAGCCTAACTAGGAGGAAGAATGACTCTTCCACAGGATTTATATGTGGATGGACCTCAAAAACAGGGTGCTAAGTGAAGGAAGCTGGACACAAAAGACCACATATTGATCCCATTTATATAAAATGCCCAGAATAGATAAATCCATCAAGAGAGAAAGCAGAAGGGTGGTTGATAGAGGCAGGAGGGAAGGAGGAGAATCTGCTTGATGGGCTCAGTGTTTACACTCCAGTGATGCAAACATTTCAGATTAGACAGAAGTGTTGTTTACACAACATCGTGGGTGCACCAAGTGCCACAGAATTGTTCGCCCTAAAGGGTTAATATTATTTGACTTCCACAGAGGTGAAATTCAAATTTAAATAAATTATTACATATTATGTATGTGTGTATATATTACGTGTATAATAGTAATTTATATTATGTATGTAATTATTGTATATTATGCATACATATACATACACATATAATTTCCTGCTATGGTCAATCCCAGAAATAGCATAAATAGAACAATTATTCTATCTCTTATCTTAGGTTTTTAGACCAGGATGTTCTAAACTTTAAATATGATGATGGTTGATTTGGGGATCAACTTGATTAGATGAAGGGATGACTGATAGATGGTAGAGCATTCATTACTTTCCGTGCTTCCATACACACTGAGCCAGTCCTTCTTCTGCTGAAAGGAGCCAACATAGTCTGGCATATGATTAATCAGTGGGCTGCCAGGATGTCTGTGAGGGTGTTGCCAGAGGAGATCAGCATGTGAGTTGATGGACTAAGTGGGAAAGATCTGCCCTTAATGTGGTTTTCGGCGGACACAACATCTTTGTATGTGGTGCTGAGGATCGAACCTGGGCCACACACATGCCAGGCGAGCGCGCTACCGCTTGAGCCACATCCCCAGCCCCTGCCCTTAATGTGGATACCTACCAGCTAACCAGCTGGGGGTCCAGGAAGGCTAAAGTCAAGCTCTCGCTTCCAGAGCCAGGACACCCTCTTCTCCTGCCCTTGGACTTCAGAATTCCAGTTTCTATAATCTTTGAACTCTGGGACTCACACGAGTGGCCCCAGGGCTCTTGGGTCTTCCACATGGGTCTGAGAAATCACATCATCAGCTTCCTTGGTTCTCACTACCAACTTGCCCAGCTCTCCAGTTCACAGAGGAATCCTGTGGGATCGCTCGGCCCCCATAATTGATGAGTCAACTCTCCTAATAAATCCCTTCTCAAAGCCCTCTCCCTCTCAAGACAGACAGATACAGACAGGTAGATGACACAGAGAGTTACATCTCGTAGGTAGAACCCTGGTTAAAACAAATAATCTCAGTTAGCCTGAGACCACCCTCCACAGCCAGAAGGTTTCTAGGGCCTTCTCTGCAAACAGGCTTTGACAGTGAGAAGAGGAGAAAGGAAATGAGCCTGGGGCTGTTGGGAAGGGAAAGAGAGCTCATCTTTAAGAGTGAACCTCTTTAAAGAAGCAACTAGAAAACAAGCTACTTCAATTTTGAGATCCTTGCTAAGCGAAGCAGAGCAGGGTAGGCTTTCTGACATGAATCAAGAAGATTTGGCCCCCTTCTCTGGGAAGTTTCTAGGTTCTGATCCCAGGGCACCAGAAACCCGAGTCTGGACAAATTCAGGGCTTCATCTGCAGGCACTTCTCTCAAGCATCAGAGGGAAATCAGCCCTCGGCCCACAAGCACGCATTCCAAACACACACCCAGTTAATGAAAACCACACTCAGGAAAAGGACCTTCTACCTGCCTGTGACAATCCGGACTGGGAAAAGCAGATGGAAAATCGCCTCAAGGACTTTATTCCGAATATGCTCCATCTAAGGGGGAATTGAATTTCTCAAAAATAAAGCCTTTCTGTTTACAAACATACTGTTTTTGCCAAAGAGAATTCTTTATTTTAGGTGCTTTGGGAAAACTGCAGAGTCCTTGGGTCTGGGGCCAAAGACGCCCAAATGTTGCAATCCTAAACCTTTGGCAGTGACAAAACATGTTTGCAAGTGGAAAGTTTCTGGTGTGGGGCTTCTCATGCTGTTTTGTTTGGGTGTGTGTTTGTTGGCTTGGTTGGTGCCAAAGGATTTCCTCCACTTCTTCCCAGAACCAGGGAGTGGGGTCAGCACTCCTCTTGGGATGTTGGCCCCAAACCACCTGCACCCCTCCTCGGACAGCCTGTAGAGTTTGAGGCCCAAAACACAACAGCCTTCGAGTTTAGGGAGCCATCTTTTCCCCACTTCAAATCCTAAGTGAAGCCTTTGGAGAGGGCTAACCCCAGTCAACATTCGGGTCACTGTTTGGCTGTTCCTTACCTCATGCCCAAGCAGGCCACATTTCTAACCTCGCCTACTCCCTGTGCCCTGGTAACAGTTTGATACATTCGCAGTGACTTCCCACCTATCAAAACTAGTCATTCAGAGAAGATCCGCCCTGAAGAATGTAAAGACAAAAAGAAGTGAACTTTCCAGATAGCTCTTTACATTTTTAAAAAACAGGGACAATAGTTTGGAAAACCAAGATTTCGAATGAACAAAACTATGGTAATCTGGAACTCACAAGGCTAAGCCTGGTCCCTGGGTCTAAAGTTTTGGACATAAGAGAACAGAGGAGGGTCCAAGTACCACCTGACACTGGACAAGGACAGGTGGAGGGAGGAGGAAACACCTTCTGGATGAGGCCTGGGCCAATTTAAGAACCAGAGGGATAGCACAGAGGGCCATCGGCACTCCAGCCCATCTGTCACCAACCCCAGACAGGAAGCTAGGAAAGAACACAACTGCACACTGATTCAGCCCTGAGAGTCCAAGCTCTGCGCTCCAGGACCACCTTGGCTGCCTGGATAGTAGGATTCCCTCATGACTGAGACTGCACTTGGTCCACCCTTCTCCAATTCTTTTCAGCACCTCACACTCAGGAAACCCCAAACTGATGACTGTCACTTCTGCCCTCCCCTCTCCCACTCGGCCGACCCATTCCTCCCTCCCTCCTGTCTTTTCAGGATAAGCGCATGTAGCATCAGCTTTGCTGTCCCTTTCTTCCTCCCTAGCTCATCTCTTACCGAATACCACAGGCTCTGCCTCCTGGTGTCGGTTCCATCCATCCCTGGCTTTCATAACAGTATCACCTCCTGACTGAGGAATTTCACCCTGTCTCCATGGAACCAGTTTAATATTCACCTAATAAACACCCCTTCTGCCTCCCCCACGAGAATCCTCGTAAACTTCCACCCTCATTTCTAATCTAGTTGTTTTTCTCTCTGGTCGTAGCCCTCTCTGCTCTCCTCCTTCCTTCCCATCGGTACCCCAGGTCTGTGCCAGAAAGATCACATTTTTCAGTGTCTCAAATGCAAGGGCGACAGGCTCAGCCCTTAGAGCTGTCACACAAACTGTTCTCTCTGCCCAGGAGGCTCTCTCCCATTCCACCCACTTATAGTCTACTCATCTTTCAGGTGGCCTGGATGTCACTTCCTCCAAGAAGGCTGCCAAGCTTTCATCTGAGTGGTAAAAACATTGATTCCCTCTGACTGAAACAATAAGGAAACAGAATAATGGAACCTTAAAGGCAAGGTGGGGTTAGTAGTATCATGGTGTCATCAAGGACCCTGTCTCATCCCTCCTGTTTCCTTGCTGTGTCTTTTGTCATCTTCAGGCTGGTGACAAGATGCCTGCACCAGGTCTAGACATTAAATGTCCAAATGAAGGAGGAGGCTTCCCTTTTGGACCTTCTGTAGAGACAGGGGAGACTTCCATGCACCCCGCCTTCCCTGCCCCGCACCAAACTTCCCCTTAACTTCATTGGCCAAAAAGAGCCCACGTGTCTGTGGCTCTGCCTATCACTGGCAAGGAGAACTGTGGCCCTCTCCGCTGAGGGGCACAGCTGTGATGAGGGCGGGGCGGTGTGATCAATGCAGGGTTCCAACTGGAAAGAAGGGAACAACCGTGGCAAGCGGTGTCCTCTGCCCTCTGCCTTGGCTCTGTGTTCCCAGAAGAGTCTGGTCTTGCCTTCCCCCACCTCCCGAGCTTTTGCTCACTTGTGAAAATGTGCCCCTCCCCCTCACCTTCACGTAGGCTCTCCCCTTCCCATCCTCTCTTCACAATGAAATTTCATGTCTTAGAATCCAGCCCCAAAGGCCTATCCCAAAATGAGCCTTTCTTGACTCTTCCAGCCAATTACTTATTCTGAGAAATGATACCATCTTATAACTTTTTTTTTTTTTTGAGTACATGACTTCTCTGGGAATCCCTTAATGGCAGAACTGATAGGCCCCACTTCTGCCTCCCTTTGGCACCTGTCCCCTTGCTTTATATATATATGAGCTCTGAATGGGTGGACAGAACTCTGAACTCAGAGTCCGCAGTGGAGCATTTCTGTCTGGACTTAGCTATGCACCTACTGTATCCTGGACAAGTCACTGAGTCTCTCAAAAACAAAATGAGACTTTTAGATCAGACAGAGTCTTCAAGACCTTTTACAAGTCTGTTTTTGTTTCCATGGGCCACTGCTAAACAAATTGCCACAAACTGGGCAACTTAAAACAACACAAATCTATTTCTCCCTATTCTAGAGGCCAGAAGTCAAGGGGTGGCAGACCGGGTTCCTTCTGAAGGCTCTGAGCATCGGCTCCAGCCTCTTGCCCTGCTTCTGGGGGCAGCTGGCATTCCTCGGCTTGTAGAC